TTTAGGTAAATACCGCTTATTTTTTTCTTTTTTTTTTAATTATTGGCTTTCTGTCTTGTCAGTAAGGTTAAAGGTTACATTTTCCATTATAATACTATTATTGCGTTTTCTTTTGTTACATACTGGATCTGTACAGTGTTTACCTCTGAACTGAACATAGAATCATATTTGGATCATTAGAAACTGTAAATGCTGTGAATAAATATTTTTGTAGGATAGATCCTTAAATTCTAGCTATTGATTGCTCAGTCACATGATGCTGAGTAAAAATTAATGAGACTCTTCCCTTTTTTCTTAACGTGCCAAACTTTCTTGTTGTTGTGTAGATACATGATGTGTTATGTGTATCTGTAGAAACATAGATAAGTTTAAAAAGGATGTTTTGGACTGGATTGAAGCAAGCTTTCTGTTAATATACTATTATTATATTTCAGTAAGATATTTCAGTAAGCATAACATCTCTTAAATTGCAGTAATAGAAAAGTGACTTTGTACAAATGTCACCTTTCTGTTCAGCCAGTCTACTCCCTTTGTGTTGAACCCTCTCTCTTTGTCTTCCACAGATAGATTTTTACTCTTGCAGATCTGTGGAAGACCAAGCTCGATTCTGTTCTGCCTCATACCTTAAAAAAAGTGGTCACTAAATTGAAATTGTAGAATATTTATTATCAGTGACAGATAATAGTGGCAGAATAAACACAGCTTGAATTTTTCATATATTACATTGTATTTGAAGGCAGCTAGAAAAATCACTGTTACTGGTAAGCTGAGTACATTTGACCTAAAACTTGTGAGGAGAACATAAGTGTGGAACCTCACAATGTCCTCTTAAGGAAGTCACTTTTTCAGAAGCAATGTATAGCAAAACTTGAAAAGATACCGAGTGATTGTGCCCAGAGCTACTTAAAGAAGCTGTAACCCAGGCTGATTGTCCTAAATCACAAACGTTTTTCTAATGTTGAAACTAAATTGTTTCCTGCTTGTTTACAACTAGGGTGACCAGACAGCAAGGGTGAAAAATCGGGACGGGGGTGGGGGGTAATAGGAGCCTATATAAGAAAAAGACCCAAAAATCGGGACTGTCCCTATAAAATCGGGACATCTGGTCACCCTATTTACAACACTGGTCAAATAACTTCTAGTACAGCATATATAGTACAGCACCATATGTTTATAAATATCTTGGAATCTTGTAACACACTTCCCCCTGCCAAGTCCAAGCAATTGTGCTACATTTCTAATTTTTTTTGCACTTTGTTTCAGGCCTGGGAAAATCATCTGAGAAGAAACAGATCAATCGTAGTGGATTTGTTTCATGGACAGCTAAGGTCCCAAGTAAAATGCAAAACATGTGGGCACATAAGTGTTCGATTTGACCCTTTTAATTTTTTATCCTTGCCTCTTCCAATGGATAGCTACATGCACTTAGAAATTACAGGTGGGTAGTCGAATTTAAATCACTCTGGTCTTGCCTGTCCTAAAACATACTCACTTTCCAGCAGTGATGCAGAACAGGTTTTCAGGGCACAGTGGTAAGAGTCCCATCTATACTGGCTCTTAGCACTAATGCAGCTGGACCATTCTTGGAATTGAGGTAAAATATTCTAGCATAAATATGCCCCTTTACATACTAAAATCTACCTCATTTCAGTGGGCTTAATTTACACTAGAACAAAAAAATGATTTCGCTATCAAATATTTACGTAGTAGTGAGCATAGTTCAGGTGCTGCCACCTGTTTTGTCTCAACTAAAAGATTTGATGACTAAAATGTATAATATTCAGAATTTGAGGCCTTCTAGACCGTTTTCAGGTCAGTAGCAATTTGATTATACAGATAGTCTTTGAGAGAGTGTGCCTAGTGCAGAACTGTACCATGATCTTCAAACCTTTTACTGAAGAAAAATCATTTTTCATGCTTGGATCTTGAGACATGAAAATAAAGACATAGTGTTTAAAAAAAAAAATCCTCTTAACTGCTGCTCTCACACTTACGCAGGTAATGAAGGTTCTCTTGTCTAGTATTAAGACATTCTTTTGTCTTTGAAACAATAGAAAAGTGTCTGGTAGTCGATGAAAAGATCAAGTCTTAAAATGGAAGCAACAATAGCTTTTTAATAAATGAGAAATGTATTATTCTCACAAAAACACTGCCATTTTGCCGACTAAAGTGTGTTTCTTTCCCTTAAAGTAATTAAATTAGATGGTACCACCCCTGTTCGATATGGGCTCAGACTGAACATGGATGAGAAGTATACAGGTTTAAAAAAGCAGCTAAGTGAACTTTGTGGGCTAAAACCAGAACAGATTCTTCTGGCAGAAGTACATAGCTCTAATATAAAGGTAACATGCTTTCATTGATACCAGCATCCTTTCAGTACTTAAAGTAGTTACTGAAGCCTGTACATCAACATACTAAAATTCCTTCATATCTCTTCAACAGACGATCTTGTCTACATGAACACTGCACCAGTTTAACTAAAGATGTGATTTTTAAATCAGTTTAGTTTCACATGGACTCACACCATTTAATGCTTTTATTTTGGTTAAACCAGGTTAATTTAGAATTGTTCTAAGCTGAACCCAAATAAACCACTCTTAAACCAGACCAAACCAAAGTTATTTACACCAGTTAAACTAAAGTTATTTAAAAATCACATTTTTTAGGTAAAATGATACAACTTTCTCATTTTGACCGGGCGTAACTCAAAGACCAGCAGTGACATCATGTGTTTAAACACTACCAAATATTTTAGGGCTGAAGCCTGATGAGAAATAACCTATGAATTCTAAATAAAATTTATATACTTTAAAGCCAAGTCTGCCATCACAAAATATTTTTCAAAACTATTTTATGTTTACAGAGAGCAGGGGCTCTGGCTGGTCAATGGACCGTCAATAGTCCACGAAGCACTTGCTGGAGACCTGGCAATTCCCATGGTGCTGGTTCTCCTTTTCTGCAGCAAGGGATGGAAGAGGAGACTAAATGAAAAGCTGAAGCAGACAATTTTTATTAACATTTTCAACAAATAAACATATGTAGGATCATAGTGGAAAATACTAAATACTATTATATTATACTATTATTCCTTGTATTCTGTTTTTCTCTACAGAACTTTCCTCAAGACAACCAGAAAGTTCGGTTATCAGTGAATGGGTTTTTATGTGCGTTTGAGATACCGGTCCCAGGATCTCCTACGTCAGCTTCTAGTCCTGTGCAAACAGGTAAAACAAAATTACTCATTTTCCTGTTTGTTTAAATTGACCCAAGAGTATTGATCAGATATAGATGGCGAGGTACAGGAAAAATCCAACTTTATAATGGGGAAAGAGACAAGCCTAAAGAAAAAGCATGGTTTGGAGGAGGGGAAGAATATTTCATACACTCAATTGGATGGAACAGGAAATGTTTAAAAAAACACTGTTACCAGTTCTGGTTGCTGTTGCTAATTGTGTATTTATAATTAGATTTGGCATCAGTACTGGGAACAATAATATCTGTACTGTGTGTTTTATCCAAGGACTTTAGTACACTTTATAAACATTTATTATTCACAACATATAATCTTAAATTTACCCATTTTAAAAAGAGCATAACAGGCACAGAGAAATGATTTGCTGAAGGTCACCTAGTGAATCTTTGGCAGAGCTGGGAACAGAATCTGATTCATTCTCCTGTTTTGAGCAGTAGACACACTGCTAACAATGGGATGTATATTGAGAGTAGGACTGGCTACATCTGCTTCTCGAAAACTTAATTGTTTTTGAAGTGGTATTAAGGGATAGATGTGGATGTTTGTCCGTGGTCTGTGTATACTATGGTGTGTAGATTCCTGGCATTAAGTAAATGATATGGGTCGCTGCTGTACACGATAGCATTAACAAGCAAGTTTGAGCAGATTGCTTTGTAGCCAAAACAGCTGAATCATAGTTCATAAATATTAATAGTGCAAATATCATAATTCAGTAACCATGTGTTTGTACTTAAATTCAGATTTCTCCACTGGGCCATCAGCTAATGGAATGCTCAACATAATGATGAATGGGGATTTCCCCAGACCAACACTAATTCCAAATGGAATGCCAAATACTGTAGTGCCATGTGGAACAGAGAATAACTTTGCCAATGGGATGATGAATGGTCATATGTCCTTGCTTTCTGATAGTCCATTTATAGGCTACATCATTGCAATCCACAGAAAAATGGTTAGTATATTCTGCACTAGTTACAAATGTGTGGTGTAGGCTACTTGTAAAAGACACTGATTTTTTTTTTTTTTGGATGGAGCTGTGATGAATGAATGTATATTTGCAGTCCTAGGAAGGGAACACAAGTGCCCATTTATATGCACAATCACCTGTTGTGTAGACATACGTGTAAAGTTGTATGAGCACGTTATGCTTTCCTTTGAAAGTTTAGCCACAATGTCTAATGTAGGTGTTTTACTTTCCTCAGTGACTCTTAGCATATCTCCTTAGTGCTAAGACGCATTTTTGACCGTTCATTGTAGTCCAGTCTATCTTGCTTTCAGGCGTTCACTCTGATCAGAAGAAATCTGGTTTGAGTAGCTACTTGAAACTCTTTTCTTTCCCTTTACCTGGACCTGCATCATCTCCTTTACAGAAGCAGTATACAGTTAAGGCATATGGTACATTTGCAGGTCATTCTATTGGTGTCAACTGCTCTTTGTAAAATGCATCTGTAGCCAAGTTAAACTATAAATGTCACGGCTGGTTGACTGAGTGCCTCAGATAACTCTGCACTCTGTATACGTTCTCAGCCTTCAGGCATTAGAAGTGGTTGACATTTACAGCCAGTGGTTTGTGGGCTAGAAGGCTGCATAACTTCTCTTTTCACAGTATATTTGTGTGGGGCTTTTATTAACCATTGTCCAATAACACCACCATAGGCCTCATTTAAGGGTTGATAGGAGATCTTTTAGGGAATTGGTGTAATGTTCTTTAGCAGATCCAAACTAGTTATGCAGCCCATAAGGCTGCAGAAACTCCATCAAAAGTTCATGCTTAGAGCTTTCTATTTCTAGGCATTCTATTAGTGGCAGGGGTCAGCTGGCTAATACTAGCTTGTTTGTTTTATCCAGAGATCTCAATATATTTTACAAACACAAATGTTATTAAGCCTCAACATCTGTTACATAGGATGTATTGTTCCCATTCTTATAGATGGGGAGAATAAAGCACAAAGGTTAAGTGACTTGTCCAAGATCACACACAGTCCACAGAGCCCAAATCTGACTTCCTGTTGTGATTTCTAGTCACAATACCATCTTTTTTTCAAGGGATAAAGACTGGGCAGGGTTTGTGCTATGGGACTGATGACTTGTATGTAGAGGTGCCTGTTTACGTTTTTAAATGTTACCAGTTGGTGGGCAAGGGAAAGACCTAAGTAATAGAAAATAGAAGTTTAATGTAATATAGGTTTATGATGGAAATGCTTATACAGCCTAGTAATTGCGGTCTATATGACACTTGCTATAGTAAATAAAAAGTCAATGACAGAACTTTCAGACCGTAACTCAACTTTAAAACAAACAACCAAAAAAACCAGTTTTTAGTGCTGACTTACTAGCATGATTCAGAGCTGCTCAGTGATTTTATTGTAGAATTATTAGTCTCTTTCAAGATCAAACAGAGCACAGGAAAATACTGAAGTGAATGACAAGTGGAAAGAGTCAGCTTTCTAATCGTTATAATATCAGTTAATGCGCACACAAAAATACATTACGTTTATTCCTTTCATTTGTAAATACAGATGCGGTCGGAACTATATTTCCTTTCATCTCAGAAGAATCGTCCCAGTCTCTTTGGAATGCCATTAATTGTTCCATGTACTGTTCATACTCGGAAAAAAGACTTGTATGATGCGGTATGGATTCAGGTTTCCCGGCTTGCCAGCCCTCTCCCTCCCCAGGAAGCTAGTAACCATGCACAAGACTGGTGAGTTGGATGTGCTAACCTATGGCTTGGGATTACCCTTCACTATGGTACAGACGTCCTTATAAGGATTCAAAAGTATTAGTGCTTAGCCTTGCTTTGTCAATTTAATTGCTGACATGAGACACTCCATAAGATGAAGATATGGTCTTAATGCCCAATTAAACTCTAAATGTCAACTATTTTAGAAACTATTGCATATATTTTTAGCTCAAATGCATTGTTGCCTGCGGATTCCATCTGGTGGGTTATTTTTGTAGACATGTCATCTTCATGTATTACAAATTAAATAATGATGCTATGGGTCCTTTAATATAGTTATCTATCTTATGCTTTTAGGTTTAAATTTAAGTTATTCTTACATACTGGATATTTTTGAATCATTGATAATTCATTATGCAGCCTGGTGCAGGAAAATAATTCACTTTTTTTTTGCTCTGAGCACAGTTGATGTATTTTAAGAATTAGATACTGATAAGTCCTTTCACTGTGTGGCAGTGATTTTAGATGGTCTGGAATGTAATTAATTGCATAAGTAGCTTGTGCAATGGATTAATTTATAGCTGAGTTAATTTAAACAAGTGAGTCTGTTTCCATGTTAGCTAGGGGAGTAAATGGATACTCAGTCAATGGCAATCCTACTCCTGGTGAAGTTGGTGGGAATTTAGCTTTTGACTTGAATGGGATGAAGGTTTGGCTTTGTGGCAAATTATTAAATGTATTCAAAGAGGAATGAGACTTGAAAGAGAAAAGAGCCAGGTATACAGGACTAACAGACATAAGCCTGGTTTAAATGGACTTAAATATGTCCACACAGGGTTTTGTGTGGATTTAATTAAATAGGTGTGTTTTCACACACATGCGCGCGCGCGCACACACACACACACTCTCTCTCTCTCTCTTTAGTTGTATCTGTGCAACTGTGTGTGTAGATCTGGCCTCTAGTAAATTTTCTGCTATGTCCCTTTGTTCCCATCCGGGTGCTTTCTTTCTGCATTATGACTGCTAAACAAGTCTCTTATCTTTAACATAGTGAATTAAATGTTTTAATATATTTCAGATTAGATGAGTGACCATTTTCCAATTTAAGGTATTCCTGTGAACCTTTGATAATCTGGACTATTACTTAATTGGCTCAATGTATCCGCTAGCCTATGCGGAGAGAATTCTACTGCTATAGAGTCTTATGTGAGATCTGTTACCTCAGCAGGATCTTGAAAAGTTTATTACTGTCCTTGTCAGGAAATGGTCCAATAGCTTTATTTTACCATGTGATAAAATGAGGCTTGTAGTATGATTGTGTGATTGGTTGATTTTATATTGTAATTATGCCTGCTGTTCTTTGGACTCCTCCCTCAAAAATATGTTGCAGCTTAATGTGACTGTCCTGCTGAGCAGACTTACAAAGCAAACATTAGTGTGTGTATCTGGAATTTAGATGACACAGGGAGGCGTCTTGTTTTGTTAAGCAGCTCTTAATGGGTTGGAATTGGCTCCCTTAAGCAGTGATCTCATGCACCATCATGCTTGCTTACTGTATTAAACGTTCCTTCCAAGCAAAAAATCAAACGCAGGGTGAATAGTGTGTGGTGTATGGTAAGGAATTTGATCCATACTTATGTTTCTTGTTGTATTCTGTTCTGTTTCAGCGACGACAGCATGGGGTACCAGTATCCATTTACCCTTAGGGTGGTTCAGAAGGATGGAAATTCTTGTGCTTGGTGTCCATGGTACAGGTGAATTGCTCTTTCTAGAATTGAGCCAGGGGATAACTTAAGCAGAAATCTAATTTATGATAATGGATTTTTGATAGATTTCAGGACTTCAAGAGATAATATCAAACAATGAGAATTTGGAATTTAATTTAACCAAAACCCCCAAGTGGCAGGCTTTCACTGCAGAATTGCTTTTATGACTTACAGAGCTGAAAACTATTCTGACACACAAGCTTCAACATAGGAGACCAGCACCAAGTTTTAAAATATATTTTAACCCATTACATTCCTCAGGACAAGTCAATACCCAACCCCAAAAAAGAACAAGTCTATGACCACCCAAAAAGCCCTTACTATTTGTCCCCAGGTTGCGTCCTCTCTGCATGAAGAAAATGTCTTTCTATTTCAAGTCTACCCTTCCAATATAAATCATTGCCTCCTAGCCTGAGTAGGAATTGACAGTGACAGTAGGTGGTTCATTTTGGGGAAAGGCATGTATGAGCTGCTATAGACAAGAGCCGTAACCTATTTCTCAGTAGCCAGAAACCTTTCCTCTTAGTCTAGAACACCCTCGAAAGTCCCCAGACGCCATCAGACATTGACTTGTCTCTATGATGTGAAACACTTGAAAATTACCAAGTGTTTTTTAAGGTTTAACACTCAACTATACCTTAGGGCCTATTCATATTACCAGTATAATTATTCACCTAAGGCTGGACTATATAGCTGTATAACCATCTTACACCCTGAAATAATGTTGTCCTCACAAGCAAATCAAATATATTAGAGCAGGTACATCTCTTACTGTAGGAGACAACCAAGCTACTGTGTGATTATATCTGTAATGCAGATGGACCCTTAGTGAACCTGAAACTAATCATGTTGACACTATACTGGACAGTCCTTGGCTTACCTTGAGATCCTACCTCTTGATGTCTAGTCCTCACAAGGGCCTGTAGACTTCATACCCAGGAAAAAATATGACTGAAAAGAAAAGAATAAGCCTATTTGTGTTACAAACTGTCATAGAAGAGGAAGACCTTGCCTTAGCTTATAATCCACCCTGCATCTCACACCCATTTAAAAGTCTACACAAAATTTGGAGAGGGGAAGAGAGCCACACATGACAGATGCTAGTCATGTTGCATAATGCACCATTGGAAAGCATTCAGGTTTGTCTTGATTACAAAAGTGTGTCCATTAGCTATCCCGCTGTAACATCCTAGTGGATGTGGTTTTTAACTGCTGGGTAGCTAGGCAAGTTCAACTATGGGTGAGGATATAGTGTTGACTTTGCCTAGCTACCTGGTGCCCTGTCTTCACTAGGATGTTACAGAATGATCACTAACGTGCCTGGATTACCCTACTGTAAAAACACACCTTTCTGGCACAGAAGACAAAGTCTCAAACACCACAGTGATGGCCATGGTCTAAGAAAAAGAAGGAGAACAAAGTATCCTTCTGATTAACAGGAATCTAAGTTATTGGATAATTCATCTGTCACCATTGAGGCTTAAGGGTTTTTTTTTTTTTTTTTTCATTTAGATTTTGCCGTGGGTGTAAAATCGAGTGTGCAGAAGACAGGGCTTATATTGGAAATGCTTACATCGCCGTAGATTGGGATCCTACAGCCCTTCATCTCCGCTACCAGACATCACAGGAACGGGTAAAATCATTTACAAAATAAACCCAGCAGCACATCATTAGCTTGCGATATTTACTTGTATTTTATTAGCTCTGAAATGTATCCTATTTTAACATCACTTCCGTGGTTGCGTGCTCATCATTAGTCCATCTCAGCAGGAGCGAGATTAGAAACATATTCTCAGTATTTAGGCACTTGCCTTATTGCTTTTGTGTTTCGTCCTCTACTGAAATAATGAATACAAAATCAATAATGGGAAGAGCTAACTCGAAGGTTGTCTGTAAAGGGCAATTTGTGTGACGTTGGTATATCCATAGGCCTTTTACTTCGTGATGAAGCTTTTGACAACCACAAAAGGTGCATATTCCCAGTGCATCCTGATACAATGACATTTGATTTAATCTCCATAAATGCACTAAACATAGGACAACATCCACAAAAAAGAGAGGCTCCAATCTTGAAAGCACTTGGGCACAAGCTAAACTTAATGCACATGAGTAGCCTCATTAGTTTATTGGGACTACTTATGTAACTAAAGATAGCATGTGTAAGTGATTTTGGGATTGTGACTTGTGTGTAAATTGTGCCTATAAAAAACTTGTGTCCTCATGGGTAACTTCTTAAGCAAAAAAAACCCCAAACCCAAGATATCATACTCAGTTTTTACATTAAAATACTACGTTACCTGTCTGTGCATAGTTTAAATAAACATTTTACAAACAGAACTTGGCTGACAATTCTTGAAATTTTAATTGTAAATAAATTAAAAAGGTAACTTTTTGGTTGTAAACTTTTGAAAACAGACCCATCTTTGAGTGACCGCTATACATTCCTACTCATGGGATGCACCCATGGTGCCGCTTTGAGTGGAACATGTCACAGCAGTGCCCGTAGGAATTGTCTCCCACCCCTGTCTGCCCCTCTCTTTATTCCTGAAAATCAAGGGCAAGGCTATAAAAGGAAGGGATGTGCTCTGGCCACCTCCATTCCTTTCAGCTGGGGCAGCGGACAGACCAGGAACCTCTCCAGGGAGATGCAATTTGGACCTAACCTCCTTTGAAGAGTTAGTGTTAAGAAAATAAAGAAGTTAAAATTTCTAAGTATTTATTTTATTATTTCCCACACGTTGGTGTGAAAGCTTACAGATCCTGTGGTAGCTGCAAAGGGGAAGAGGCCATGATTTAAGAGGTGTGCCTCTTGTCTTGTTGTATTCCCTGCTTTGGATTCCAATAAGGTATATGGCTTGAGTGGCGAAAGGACAGTCTCCTTCAGCATTTGTGGTCTGCAACACCTTAATCCCAAGAGCTCACAGGGAGTGTAAAACTGGATCCATGTCCTACTACTTCAGGAGGAGCTAGGGTGCCCCTTTCATGAGAACCTACTAAGAAAAGTGGTTTGCACATTCATGGAAGTAGGGGCTATAGAAGAAGTTCCAAAGGAATTCCGGGGAAAGGGTTCGTATTCCAGATAGCCGTCTTTCTTCAGAATTAGTAACTGTCTCTGACCCATCTTAGACTTGAGAAAGCTCAACTCCTTAGTCAGAATATTCAGTTTCTGTATGTTGACCCTAGAATCCATTCTCCCAATAGCCCCAAGATTTATTTGGGGCTCTCAGTTTATGGGACGCATATTTCCACATCCCTATCAGGCCTTTACACTGCAAATATCTTGGCATGCCTTAGGCATATACCCATTGTAGAAATTTGCAGAGCTGCTACACACACTTACAAACCATTATGCACTAGACCTAGCATTCTAGTTGGATGCTGTATTTGAAGAGCACTGTTTTATTAGGACTTCACATTCCACCTTCCACAGATGACAGTACTGCATGAGCTGCGTACATTCACGCTCCATGCCTACCTTCCCCTCTTCCCTGGAGTCCTAATTACTCAGATCTGTGGACACAGTCAGAGGAACTGAGGTAGCCAGAGCCCCACAGCATCTTTTATAGCCTCGCCCTCAGAATATTCAGGAACAGTTAGGGGAAGGGCAGCAGGGGACAGGAGAGTGTTCCAACAGGCATAGTAAGTACAAGTACCTTTGGATGCCCACTGAAAATTTGGCATTTGATGCCAAATATTGTCGCATTTGATGAAAGACACAAGTTTTGTTGGCTCTCTGCCTCCTGACTTTAAAAAGTGCATTGTAGGCCCTGAACACATTATGTGTAAACTCAACCAAACATCTCACCTATCAGCTAACGTGAGAGGAAGTTTGATGTGCTGTGTGGAAAAGGAACTATACGAACTTGAAATTGTTTGATCTGAGATGTTATAGAATAAACTTTAGTGAAATTGTGTGACAGGATATGTGTGTGAAGAACGTATGCCAGTGGGTGCACAGAGACACAGAGGGTTGGCGTCCTGGATGGAAGTTGCATCCAGGCTGTCAGTTCAGAACTTCAGGGGGGGTTGACTGGAATTTGAAGGATCATCAATTAGCTCCTGAGGGGAGAGAAAGCAAGATCACTGGTGTGGGTCCGTGGGATTAACTGTGATCAAGAAGGGAAGCACTGCTGAGCTCTTATAAAATTAGACTTTAATCCCTAATAGAATAAGAAGTAGAAAGGTTACTGTAAGGTATTACGATGTTTGTTTAATATAGTTAAAATCAAAGTTTAGTAGGTTCTGAAACCTGGAAGTTGAAGGCATAGTCATTCAGTGGGGCTTTGAAGAGCTCTGTAGGGCCCTCGAAATAGTTAGGAAGGACAGCCAGGATCACCCAATATTCTCAGGCAAGTGTGCTCAGGGGAATCTTAGAGCAGTAAAGGGGTTGTATTAACAACTCAGAGACACCACTGTGCCTGTGTTTGCCCGTGAAGGGGCAGCTTGTGACATCCTGCCATGTGGAGAATGGAGCATTCCCTTAATTTGTGTTTCACTGTTATGAAATGTGGAAGAGGCTAGCTGAGGAAAGAAGGGGTCACTAGCTGTGATTGTGTGTTGGGAGCAAACTGATTTGAGTTTAGATGATGTGCATTCTGGAGATTTGCTGGCACTTACATTGGCAGGGTTTGGAGGGTTGATGGGAAAAGGACTGCAGTATGCTAAAGAAGTTGAAAACCTTTAAATAGGTCATGAGAGAGGGAGATTTACAGAACATGGAGAGGTAACAATCCAAAAGGTACAAGAAACATCTGGCATAATAATGGCATCATTTAATTTGGACCAAATTAGTCTCTAGTGTTAATTGAATTGAAACCAGTGGCGTTGTATATAAGGGGTGGATTGGTCCATTTGACTGTAAAGGAGAATATTTCAGAGTGTCAAATGGAATTTGGGGCTTGTCGAGAGGAACTGCTAGTGCACAGCATACTGTGGTGTAAATTTTAAGGCTGTCAAGCGATTAAAAAAATGAATGGCAATTAATCGCACACGTAATCATGCAATTAATTGCACTGTTAAACAATAATAGAATACCATTTATTTAAATATTTTGTGATGTTTTCTACATTTTCAAATATTGGTTTCAATTACAACACAGAATACAAAGTGTATGGTGCTCACTTTATTTTTTATTACAAATATTTTTGCTGTAAAAAAACAAAAGAAATAGTATTTTTCAATTTGCCTCATACAAGTACTGTAGTACAGTCTCTTTATCATGAAAGTTGAACTTACACATGTAGAATGATGTACAAAAAATAATTGCATTCAAAAATAAAACAATGTAAAACTTTAGAGCCTACAAATCGACTCAGTCCTACTTCTTGTTCAGCCAGTCACTCAGACAAACAAGTTTGTTCACATTTGTGGGAGATAATGCTGCCCGCTTCTTGTTTACAGTGTCACCTGAAAGTAGGAGAACAGACATTCGTATGGCACAGTTATAGCTAGCGTTGCAAGATATTTACATGCCAGATGCTCTGAAGATTCATATATCCCTTCATGCTTCAACTACCATTCCAGGGGACATGCGTCCATGCTGATGATGGGTTCTGCTCAATAACAATCCAAAGCAGTGCAGACAGATGCATGTTCACTTTCATCATCTGAGTCAGATGCCACCAGCGGAACATTGATTTTCTTTTTTGATAGTTCGGGTTCTGTAGTTTCTGCATCGGAAATTTTTTTTAAGACTTCTGAAAGCATGCTCCACACCTTGTCCCTCTCAGATTTTGGAAGGCACTTCAGATTCTTAAACCTTGGGTTGAGTGCTGTAGCTATCTTTAGAAATCTCACACTGGTATCTTCTTCGCATTTAGTCAGATCTGCAGTGAAAGTGTTCTTAAAACGAACAACATGTGCTGGTCATCATCTGAGACTGCTATAATACGAAATACGTGGCAGAATGTGGGTAAAATAGAGCAGGAGACATACTATTCTCCCCCAAAGACCCAAGGAGTTCAGTCAAAATTTAATTAACGCATTTTTTTGTAACGAGCATCATCAGCATGAAAGCATGTCCTCTGGAATGGTGGCCGAAACATGAAGGGGCATACGAATGTTTAGCATATCTGGCACGTAAATACCTTTACAATGCCGGCTACAAAAGTGCCATGGGAATGCCTGTTGTCACTTTCAGGTGACATTGTAAATAAGAAGCCGGCAACATTATGTCCTGTAAATGTGAACAAACTGAGTGGACTTCAGAGTAGCAGCCGTGTTAGTCTGTATCCGCAAAAAGAAGAACAGGAGGACTTGTGGCACCTTAGAGACTAACAAATTTATTAGAGCATAAGCTTTCGTGGACTACAGCCCACTTCAAGTGGGCTGTACAAGTGGGCTGTAGTCCACGAAAGCTTATGCTCTAATAAATTTGTTAGTCTCTAAGGTGCCACAAGTCCTCCTGTTCTTCTTTTTGAGTGGACTTGTAGGCTCTAAAGTTTTACATTGTCTTGTTTGTGAGTGCAGTTATAAGTTAATATAAAGTGAGCACAGTACACTTTGTATTCTGTTTTGTAATTGAAATCAATTTATTTGAAAATGTAGAAAAACCTCCAAAAATAGTTAATAAATGTCAATTGGTATTCTATTGTTTAACAGTGCGATTTAAAACTGTGATTAATCACGATTCATTTTTTTTAGTGAATCGTGAGAGTTAACCACGATTAATCAACAGCCCTAATGCATTTACAGCAAATTAGCGTGCTGAACACCATCGGTGTACACTCTGCTACAGGGCACTGAAAGTTGCCAGTGTACATTGACCTACTCCTGTTTCGCAGCGGAGCAGATCAAAGCACTCGAGGGAACTTTTAGGGCACAGTAGCAGGGTCCACATGACCAGTCAGTGCACTGTGGATTTACACCCAAGCTTGCTGCGCATCAACTGTTTGTCTAAACAAGCCCTCGGTGGAGAAGTAGTTAGTAAAAGACCATTAGAATATTGGAACTTGGGAGTCCATGTAGGGACACTGTTGAAACACAATATCTCTACATTTCATTCTGTAATGTGCTAGTTGTAATGACGGCAAATTAAGCAGTTGACTTTGCTGCCTTGAATTGGATTTCAAGCACCTGCAAAAGTGTGGGTATTTTAAAAAAAAGTGATGCAAAAAAGGTCATGTCTTTAATATCTAAATGTAAAATACATGACTTTCCTTATCTGCATCCTGAAGTAAATGGTAGAACACATGGCGAGCTTCAGCCAAAGTCCAGATGCCTATATCAGGGAAAACTTGCTTGAGCCATTATGGCTTCAGAGAGCAAAAGCAAAACACTGGACTCCAGCTCTCTTTCTCTCCCAGTTCATTCCTCCACCCCTCAGGGAATCGGATCCATATTACCAATGGCACCCCTTAAAATTCATGCCTAGAATACTTGCTGATCCCAATTATCATTGTCAGCTGAGTACAGGGCGGCTGACTGATTGAGAAGTGCTTTTAGAACCGGACCCTGTATGGTGCCAAGGTTAGGAGAGAAGGTTATGCTAAGAAACAAGGGGTGGCAATAATTTTTTTAAAAAAACATAGCTTTACAGGTGGATGACCAGGTCAAAAATAAGGAAGGCAGAAATCTGGTACTTAGAGGCTCCAAGCTGTGTAAAGAAGTTACGATTGGCAGAATCTACACCAAAAACCAAGGTCAGGCCAAAACTTTTTGCAGATTCTTTCCAGGTTTAGGACGAGTGAGACTAAATTGGGAGGACATTTTAACTGCATAACAATACTCCTGTATTGATGAACAAAAATGGTAACTTAGGGAAAGATTGAAGTTCAGCTATGCACCTCAAGACGTATAAGGTATCTGCCAGACATATGGAGAGTTAAACTCTGCTGGCGAAGACTGACTTCCTTACCCTTGATCCCTACACACATGCGTAGACTGGTTGTTTTACTGTCGGCCACTATTACAAGGAGCAGTTGATGCCTCTGTAGGCATCATGTAATGGTCCAACGGATGTCAGTCTGAGTCTCCAATAACATGTGGAGTTCAACAGGAGACCATGCCCACTTTAAAGGACACAGTATGAGTGAACATAGCATAGGAAACAATAATATAGTACTTTAAATTAAATGGTAGAGATAAATTGTCTCTAGAGAGAATCTCTGGGAAGTAACCCAAGTGGTGGTTAGACGGTAGCTAATAAACTTAGCTTCAAGTATGAGTACATTCTAGAAGATAGACTAAAAGAATTTCAGAGTAGCAGCCGTGTTAGTCTGTATCCGCAAAAAGAAGAACAGGAGTACTTGTGGCACCTTAGAGACTAACAAATTTATTAGAGCATAAGCTTTCGTGGACTACAGCCCACT